TTTTTTTTTTTTTTTTTTTTTTTTTTTTTTTTTTTTTTTTTTTTTTTTTGTGCAATGTACCGCAACAGTGCAGGGGGTGGGTTTTTAAAAGTCACTGATCGCGTGGGCTCTTTGTATCCATACATTTGTTGAAATATATCGATCAATCACTCTGATTGACGATTTTACGGTCTACTTGCCGGTCGACCAAGGTTATTGCAATTTTTTTTTTTTTTTTTTTTTTTTTTTTTTTTTTTTTTTTTTTTTTTTTCCAAGATTTGTGAAAAACGTAGTGAAAACCTAAAAAACTTTCAAAAAAGTGTATCTCACGCCTCATATTCCTGGAAACACGTGGAAGAGTAAGGGCTTTGCTTTATCTCGAAAGGTGAGCGATAAGTAAGCACGCCTTTTTTGTGCAATTACACATTGTCGATGCTCAACAACTGAAAGATGCACTTTTTCTTCAGCTGCACACGAGTACTTACGCACAAAGTGAAAATTATTTCTTTGAATGATTAGGGTACATGTTCGCATGTTGGCACGCGTACTCGAACAATAGTATGTTTCACTGGATTACGTGTCAGTCATTGAACAAGGAATCACGTAAGTAGTGTGTGGTCTTTTTATATTTTTTACTTTGAAACTGTGACAAATTTTACATTGTAACTGCATTGCACTTTAACACGGCAAAGTTTGTTTATTTACTTTTTTTAATAATAATAACAGTTATCACCATCATTATTAATATTAATCAATTAGTAATCGCTTATTCGGCGATTGTCTATAAATACTTGATTATGAAAAGGTATCATCTTGGTGATGTAACTATATGTATCACTTGATGCAGGTTTCGAAATATTTTTTCACTTACTTGTCAAAGTGATCGAGAACGTGCGGTGTACTTTGACGTCGAGAGAAAGAACCAAAGCAATACATCGAGACGATATTTAATTCGAGACTAATTGTAATTAATACTGGGTTTTTTCGCTTGTTTCTATATAGGTACCCTCAAACAATCAGAATATAAGCTTTACACACATTAAAATTTGAATATTTGAAGTTGGGGTTTTATTTATTTATTTTTTATTATTATTTTTTTTT